TCATGGCTCTAGCTAATCAGCTGAAACGGACCAGTCTTCACAAAGAGTGCGATCTGGGCTTCCCAACTTTAACCTGGTGGCCAAATCAGCATCTGCCTGAGTGAAGCGAATCCCAAGGACGCTATAACATGGGCACAGGCGGCTGAGTCAATTGGCGAATCGATTTGATAGATGTGTCATGATTTGTCCTTTGGTTTGAAACTACTACATACTGCAAATCACAAGCAAAAAGCCTTTCAGACCCCAAAATCCACCGGCTTTCACTCTTTCACGATCACAAGTGTTAGTATCCTCTCGGGCCTTTTTAAGCCATTACAATCGAGAACTCAATGCGCATGGGACGCCCCGAACGCAGCTCGCAGCGAAGTATGAGACGTTTGAATTGTTCCATTCTGTTGAATCCGTTGAACTGATGCACCAGCAGTTTCTGCTAGCAGTTCCTACCAGTTATTTCTGTGAAAGACTGGTCAAAGGCTGGCTATTGAGATCATGCATTTGAGATTTGAAACATTCTGAAATCACAGAGCCTTGCTGCCCAGCGCAACCCAGGGACGACGTTCCACACTCCTTGCGGCTTCGAGACTTGTTCCCTCGGCATGAACCCTCCCATCCACTTGGACCTGTGTTGTACAATCATAAAGCATCATAAAACACTCCCTGAAAACCTCGCCTGCAATGTCCAGGTCTAAACTGCCAGGAAACGACTGCAAACATCGAAACCTGTAGACAAACAAGATGCAACCGGTCATAATCCCTCCCCAGTTATTCAGCTGAAGGTCGGCGACCCGAGCACCGGTTCTGGAGAGCGGGTGTGCTCGGGAGAGCACGCACTAGCTCACAACCTATCAAAAACACTGTCAAAACCATGCAACATTTCAAAAACTGCTCTGAGACCCAGGCGAAACGCATATTTTGTCTATCTTCCTATGCCCAATCTCTATGTGCGATGTCAATGTGTAACACCAATGATAAGCATTATCAGTTTAACTATTCTGTGTTCCATATCAATGACTGCCTGGTCATTTGTATTCATGTGTTCTCAATATCAGTCAAAGCTGTTTGGCTTTGAATCTTGAAAGGCTGTAGCCTCTCACCATCGCGTGCTCATCTTTAGTGATTGATATAAAATATGCAGACTTTAGCTTCAACACTCTCCTCTCAGCAACTTCGCCTTGATCACAAAGGGTTCCAATAGTTTTTATATGGTATGATTGCTTATTTTATTCTTCCATCTGTGTGTTTATTTCTTTGATGTCCTATGGGCAATAAGCAATCCAAATAACACAGATTCAATTGCTCTATGAATTTGGCTTCGGATGGCATCTTGTCTAAGAGAAAATGTGAACCATGACAAGACAACCATAAAGACATATACAGTATTCATATATATATATAATACATATCACTTTTTGACTTGTTGCTTTGACATAGAAATCAATAAAACTTATTGTGCCTAGTCTAGCTCATTACCTTCTTTGAAGGAGCTAAACCAAACAAAACAACTTGACCAAGAAAAAGGCCTTGTGAAGATTAACAGCCTTCCTTTTTGGTGCTCAATGCTAAGGCCCGTTTGAACATGTAGAACAACTTAAGCAAAACAAATACAACCTAATGGAGCAATAGAAACATCTATTGAGACAGGACGCCAGAAGATAAACGTTAGTTGATGCTGTTGCAACTTGTTTTCGCTCATTAGCTTCTTTAGTAGTGCGGTCCTGTATTTGAATGTTAATGCTCTTAAGAAGGCAATGTTTAACAAAAAGGACAGCAAAATAAAACTTGTAAAGATTGTTTTGTTGGTAGTGCCTTGATTTTGTCTCAAACATTGTATTTTTTTTATGTTCATTTTGTTTTTGCATTTTGATGTAAAGTATCGTGTGTTTTTGGTATGTTGGTTTGTTGTTGTTCGGTATTTTGTTTTTTTGGTATTCCTTCTAAACCTTTGTAGGCCTGGTCTAAACACATTGAAGGAAAACATAACTCAAAACATGTTTTCGTGATGTTTCAGCCAGAAACCATTGAAACACACAGTGTGTGTTATCATATTTTGTACAAACAACATTGAATTGAAGCAACAAAACTAGCTCAACACCTAGCTTTTTTGTGATGTTTCACCCACAAAACAACTCTAAACTACAGTGTGCTTGCACATTTGTTTGCACAAAAAAACATATCCCAGTTGCACCCGTTCCGTTTTGAATCGACTTTCGGCTTTCCTACCAAATCCGAGTATTTATGACTACCACACGGGGATTGTAATCGCCCGTCGTCCTGTGATAATCGCTCAGCCGCTGGAGCAAGCGTCGCTCGTGCCGCTGCTCCCACTCGACCGCACCTTGGCAGCGATGGGGTTAATATCAATATTATGCGTGCACAATCCGCTCAAGTATATAATTCTACAGTAATCAAGTAGAGAAATACTAACATGGAATGCCTTCGAACATGACAAGTTTGCAGTTTTGCTTTGATAGGTGGCATAGTCTATCAAGTTGTCGACTAGAGGGTCACCATACTGTATACAAAGATAACATCGCAATCCAATACTTATTCAGAAAATCGATGGTAAGGGCATCTAGCGGCTCTGCTGTGAACATGATGCATACATGTATAAATAATATTTATATATAAAATATATATATATAGATGTGTTGATCGAATTCAAAGAACAGCACGGCAAAACTCAGCTGCGAGCTTGGGTGAGCTCCCATATCATGATACATGGATATAATATATATATATATATAATATGGTTCCATAATCTTTGGGTACTCACCTAAAGTTCGCAGCTGAGAATGCAACCACCCCAAAGCAAAACCGATTGGTTTGTACCAAGACTAGTATATACGTATCTTGAGACTAGTACGTATCCTAAGTATAGACTCGTTCGACAAACACACATGCAAAAAATAGACAACATCTTATCTGTATTCATGCCAAAGTATGATGAGAACACATGCCAAAGCCATAGCCTGAACACGTCTTTCACAAACAACATCAAACAAACACCATACCCTGGTATAGCAAAGAAAGAAAAAAGCCAAGGAAAAACACGACAAACAAAAACAACAACAAACGTCTTGTAGATCCAAATTCTGGTAAAGCCAACGCACGGAGACGCTGGTCTCCAGGATCCAAGTTGCTGAGATGTTGTTTGTTCCAATCCACATCGATGAAGCGCCGCGGCATGTCGCCTCCCGCTCCCGGGGGAGACGACGGTTTTGCGCAACTTGCTGCAGTCAACACCAAATTGCTTCGATCCTTATCTATATTGGTCATATGAATTGTATTGTATCATGTTGGATCCATCCGTTGTTAGTACGGCATTTGATCAAATGTGGACCCGATTGATCCTCTACAATACCCCAGCAGCACAACTCTCAGCAACTTCACTCCAGTCACCAGTCACAAAGTTTCGTGGTCGACCCCTCAACGGTTCACAACCCGTCCGACCATCCCGAGCGACCTGAGTTTCAGCAGTCTTGACTGACATGATATGATCCGGTCCGCGACCGCGATTTCTCAAAAGATTTGCAATCATTGTACACTAAAGATTGGAGAACCGAACAAACAAGTAAGAATACTACTTACAAAAGAACTTCATGGACGTAAGCGAAGGAACAATTCCGATTTGCAGAATCTTTGGAATGAAAAGAATCTGCACGTCTAGGGTTTCCCCAACATGCTAGCAGCATGAATTTCTTGGAGGTGACAAAGTATAATATAGTCACAACATAAATTGGATGCTCAAGGAGATTCTTTTTATGTGTTGGCATGAATGGGAAGAACTCGTGAAGCATTTGGATATCCAACTGGCGTGTAGAAGGTTTGAAGGTTGCCTCTCAAATAATGGAAGGGTGCTTCTTGATATTGAATGCACAACATGTTTGCTACTGTTTGCTACTTCAGGTATCACTGGCATCCCCTCACCACCGAAGCTCGACGCCTCCCTTGGCTGCCACCTTTTAAACACCTCCTCCTGCAAGTGGTCGCGGCGGTGCGGCCCGGCCACCACCGGAGGGACTTTTGATCCATCGGACCGCCAGGTCGGACCGCAGTTCGTTGGAACGACCACTGATGTCGTAGGAGCGTGGAGTGGTTGATGGTGGGTGATGTTGGGCTTTCGGAGATCCACCTGGTCAAAACACTGAAGACCCCTTTTGTTTAAACGTGGGCCTCGATTTCTTCTTGAGAAATGTTTGATCGTCAATGCCAGTTCATGCCTTTGGCATCCTTTGGCAACGTTCATCGGCAGTGCCATTTGGCAGCTGATTGATATGAGCCGCTGGCAAATGGTTCGGGGCATGGCCAAAATGGCTCAGGATGAAGGATTACTGTTGATTGACACAGCTGCTGATATCAAAAAGGTTAGATGTCAGTGTTGAAGATCCTCTACGACTGTACGACAGAACTAGCTTGCAATAAAGACATGTTCCAGCAATGTGTTTCTCCAAACGCATCAACAAAACAACATGGCCCCTTGTGAAATCCTCGGCTGATGCGGGCCAGGTGGATGGTGGAACCACTCTGCGCCCGTCAGGAACGGACTCGCGTCCGGATTCGCGTCATCGATGCATACCCACCATCAATGGATGTGTCAGAAGATGGGAGACCACCCTGGCCCAATGATAGTGGATGACTCTGTCTGTCGATGTATATAATATTGCCTGCGTATATCATTAAGATATGTTATATCATAATAATATTATATATATATATGTTTATGATCAAGTGGTTTCCTTGAGACAAATCCAATCTGCAGCTGTCCTTTTAAAGGATGGATCAAGCACCTGGGGATAGCGGATCACCCAGACCAGGTCCAACTGGTCGTGGAGCCATCCCAAAGGCACTCTGGTACTTTAGACATCTTCAACGAAAGAATCTCCATGTCTTCATGGAGTTTAAAAAAAGGCCAATGGATCATGGATCCTTCGAAGTTCCGACAAAGGCTGGGAAGGGTCAACTTAACAAAAACCATTCTGAAGGCCTGCTTTTGTTCTGCTCGAGGTCCCAAAAAATCGACACGTCCGAACTCCAAAGGATCCCAAAGGTCAAATCCGAAGAACTGGTGCTGGTCCCACAAAGCCTGGACAGCATGGGAGACCGGTGCGTGTCACCGTGGGTTTGGGGGTGGTTGACCCGAAGGGGTTTGGATCGGTCGGTGACCGAAAAAACATGACAACATGATGTCCGAATATGTCCGGCCTCGGGAAGAATAGAGGGGCCGGCCCCAGGTACCATAAAGCAATTGGTTGTACACTTGGGGTAGCCCCTCCATTCATCAACCAATAGTGAATAAAGAAAAGGCCATCTATGGTCCGAAGATGGAAGACGGAAAATCCGCCTGTTTTGGGGTCGTCCAAAAAAACAAGCGCGTTACATCGTTGGGAATCATAGACTTGCATTGGGGGAGGTAGAAAAATATGCTTAATGTGAATATATCCGAACTAAAACCACATTGACGATAGTTACAAGTTGAAAGGGCTTGCCACACTAGGCACACTGGAAAGGCACCAAATTGAAACACACAAGACACAGTGCCACACTGGAAAGCACACTGATGAAATGTGCAATATTTCTGGCACAATCATGGAAACGTAACTTTGATCGGGATGTGACAGTCTTGCCCACATTTCCGCCAAAAAACAATTGCAAAGAACATTTTGGCACAGATTCAACAATTCATCTAAGTGAGTGTCTCCGCCGGCCCAGCTTTACGTATATTGCACGTTGGACAAAAAGGTGTTGCCGCAGTGTCTGTTGCCAGGTCCAGCCTGCGAAGTAGCAAAGAAAAGCATCACACCAGATCCCATGGTGGTCCAACTAACCGGTTGCACTTGTGCGGTTTCATTTTTCCGTGAGTGCTGGAATAAAACTTTGCAACGCACGGCTGCACTGCTTGGAAAACAAAATTGCACATCCCTAGCACTGTCCCTTCTCTCACCGCGCGGCGCTTAGGATACTACGAGGGCCCTCCACACCGAAACTTGTTTTCGCAAGGTTTTACGGCCTTTTTTTGGCGCCGCAGAATCACTTACTTGGCACAGTCCGATCCCAACCGCTGCAGTACAGCAAGCCCTCGCACAGATACTATAGGGGACCAAAGTGTTGAGGCCGTTATTGGTGTGCTTTGGTGCTTTTGGGTATCAAGCTCTGTCAGGGACCACAATGTGGAGGCCTAAAGCCTGCCCCTAGTCTAGTCGTGACATTTGACCGCCTTGAAAGCCTGTGACAGCTGTGCGTGGAGACATGCCCGAACGATTTGTGTGGATAGTTGCGCATGGCGGACGCACCCATGGAGAAGTGGCGGCGGCCGATAAATGCGATATTCCCTCAAGCTCAAGCTCCCCACTCCCCCCTTTACCACGGGATCTGGGATGTGGATGTGACTACTTTACTTACCCGGCATCTTTGATTTTTCTGCCGGAAATAAATCCGCACAGCTTTTTCTCTATGTTTTAAAGAAGGTGGGCATCCGTGGACATCCGTGTGGAGTGTGCTGACGATGTCCTGTAACTGTAATTTGTAAGTAAATACTCCTCTAAACCATGACTTCTGGGGCCATGACCAACGCCTTTCCTGCAAATACATGTAAATGCCAACGCTTTCGGGACCACAGGCCCTCAGGCCTGTCCATCCCTGTAAGTGCTGCGACATGTGCGCCATGAGCGGGGCCACTCCTGAATTTTTGTCAACGCGTGCAACGGCATGGCAGCATGCAACGCATTAGCGGACCAGCCATGCCTTCCCAAAAAGCACATTGCCATGTGCAGGGAAGCGGCCCAGTTCTGTTGCCACAAAACCATTGAATTATGTTCCTTCGTGGTGGTGGGCCCTCGCTGTATCTGCGCCACTCTGCGCCCCGGTACCGTACGCGAATCCTACCCCGCCTCAACCCAGGACCTCAGGAGGAGGCCTCTCCGGCGGCTGTACCTCCTCCTCCTCCATCTCTGGCGGTGGCGTGTCGGAGGCGAAGCTCTCTTTGTCCTCCAAATGTGAGGCATAGGAGAAGATCATGGGGGTTGGATAGGGTGGCCTGAGTAGTGAAACATGATAATGTGAAACATCAAAATAAAAAAAACATGTAACATACATGTAACATATGGAAAAACAATATGAACAACGACAAAACAACAACATCTCCAAAACTCATATGACTACTCATATGACCGGAAGAAGGAACCATTGTCCGACACTTGGCCAAGCTGAAGTGCCCGTGTTTGACATGGTTCTTGCGACATGCGATTGGACACAAGTGTGGTATAGGTCTCCACATTTGATACAGGCACCGCACCGCCATGTCTGAAGTGATTTCATGTGCGGTGTAGCTGGCTCCGGTGCCGTTCACCGTTCGCTCCTCCATGATGCGCCGTGGCCGGCCGAACCTGCGAACGCGGTGAGACCGGCGAAAGCACATGGGAGGTTCTTCCTCAGCTTTTTAGAGTGGCCATTCCCCGTTTGTTCAAGGGCATGTGACCTGTGGCCTTGTGAGGTAGTCTTTGGGAGGATATCCATGGTTCCAGGCTGTGGTTGGCAGTTGGGTTTGTGGCGCTTTCAACTTCCCCACTCTCTATATAGTAGGTCTGGTTTTCATTCATCACCACCAAAGTTGACCCACAAAGGACCTCAAAAGATTGCTGTTGTTCATTAGCTACGCTCCAATCAGGAACGTCCGAGCCTTTCTGGATGGCATGTTGATAGATTATGATACGAAGTAGATGCTCTCAAATGTTGCATAAACAAACGTAGACCATCTTGGCGGTTCCACAACTGGGATTGCCCAGGTCCAGGAATCCCATGAAACCGAAAGGAAGCTCGGTGGAGCGGGCTGTAGGAGGTCCAGGTGCTGCGGGCGGATGAACAGGTGCAGATCGACGGTTATTTGACACATCATCAAAACATGTTCCTCATCCCTCTGGCACAAGCTCCAAAGAAACCTGCACTAACTCTCGAATTCGGATGAAACCATCGGTGCCCACCAAGAGTGCTCCGTCTGTGTCTCCTACACAGGTACGGTCCCGCCACCAGTACCTCAACAGGTACGGTCCCAGGAGCATCGGTCCATTTGCAGAAACCCTTCCGTCCATCTGCCCATCCACCGCACCCTTCCATCTCACTCTCGGTAGACTCTGCATCGCTATCGCTGGGCCTTGGTTCGCCAACGACCGCGTAGCGGTATGGAAGATGGCGGCCATCCCACATCCGGCAATGATGGTGCCAACCGTGTAGGAATCCAACATAATTGTTCGGACATCTGAGATGATGCAGAACTTCTATATGATATGTTGGACCTTCTGTGCAAATTGTGTGTATTATGGCAAGAGAAATATATTTTATGAGCTGGAAGACACACACATGCTCATACGCATCTTGCTAGTCTGCCTTCTTCAGGGAGGTCCCTTCTTTCGGTGTTTTGGAGCGACTCAAACGGAAATTTTTCGCTTGCCCTGCGGCTCCAACCACCTCCGAGAAGGTGGAACAGGGTGGATGGTTTGGGGGGGTTGAACTATACCTTCCGAGGATTCCAGGATTCCAGGACACATGATTTCTCGAAATGTCCTCAACAACATCGTAAGATCCTACTCCAGCACCACCCAGGAACCCATATGCCTTTTTTAATATATATATATTTATAGTCTTAGTTCTTGGATCGGGGTTGGAATTAAGTGGGTACCTCGGGGGGTGCAATTTTATAGTGCTAAAATGCTGGGACCAACCCCCTCCAATGAGGGTCACTTTTGGACCCTATAAAATTGAGGATAACATAGGAAAAGGTTGAAAGTTGTGAATATTGATGGTTTTTGTCTATAAAAATGCAGGTCCCAAGGTACTACCGAACAGGTGTGGTCGAGTTGTAGTATGAACCTGGTTCTCTGTAGAATCAAGGTACATGGGTCTCAAAAATACCTAGTAAGAACCTGGTTCTGTATAGAATCAAGGTCCAGGGGTCTCAACAAAACATAAAAATGCAATTTCCTTGGAAGGTATTGATTTGCCAGTTGGTAGGACCACAAATCTGTAGAGAAGACAGCAGGTGTTATGGAGAGGATTGGAGAGGTAAGGATCTGTGATGATCTCTGATTTTATAGTGTCCAGATGTGTCCAAATGCTGTCCCTTAGTGAAATTGACATGTATTGCATTAGGATGCATTAAGATTTTCCAAAGTGTTTCCATGTGTTTCATATAAGGCGTTCACTTGCTAGGATGCTCCAAACTTGTTAGCGTCATCATGCGTCATCCTGACTCATCCAAGAACCCATTCCCCAGGGTTCTTTTGAGCAATCCCAATTGGAATCAAGCCAACAAAAAGCAATCTCTATAGAATTGCAGTTCCTAACATGCAAAATCATGCAAATAATTCTCTATAGAATCAGTATGCCTAAGACATCCAGAATCCCTTCACTATACTTATAAGCCTCTATAGAATCAAGCTTGTAAAAAACCACAATTCTCTATAAAATCGAGGCTCTTGAAGGACAGGACTTTACAACCTCCATATGAGCCAAGAAAAAGTGGCTAACAAAATTGTCTTATCGGGGTCCCAACCCCCGCGATTCTGCAGAGGAAATTCCATCCCCTATGTTCTTGGATGCTAGACCAGGGGGGTCAAAAGGTCTATATGGCACTCTTTGCGTGGTGCCGGCTGTATTGACTTGCTTTAATTCCCCCCAAAACATCAAAAGACCCACGAGGATCTCCAGTTTCGCATGTTGTCCGTTCCGAACAATAGCCTTTTGTCAAGGGTTCTCATGCAACTCATGTAAACTGCATGTTCTGGCACTATCCTGGAATCCAACGCACAACAACAGCAGCAGCAGCAGCAACAACAACAACTACAACTACCTAGTAAAACTATACAACTACTACAAACGGATGGCCTTCATCTCACTGCGGTCTGATGTCACCCACATCACTCCCCTTATTTTGTCCCTTATAACACTCCATCCGAGTGGCATCTCCACCTGACGTCAATCGCTGGGGTTCGCTGTGGTGCGTGCACCCTTCAGATCCAGAGTGGAGAATAAGCCCGGAGGGTTGGAAGGTGGTCTCATTATGTCAAAATGGATTGCAAGAGTTCCAAGATAATCGCTAGTAGGTTGGAGGCCATCGCTATTTGGGGGGAGGCCATCGCTAGTAAATGGATTGCAAATAAAACCAGCTACGCGCTAAGCTCACAACCAGCTACGCACCCCTTCAGCCACCCTTCAGCTGTGATGAAGGGTCGGGTCCCAGCGTCCGTGACTTTCGACTCCAACAACGTTACTTTGGAGGTATTTTTGTGCTCCGAAAAAAGAAGCGTCCGACAGCGTCCGTTGGAGGTACTAGTACTTCTGTCTATTCTGTAGAAAAGAGGCTGTGCGTCGAGAAACCAAGATGGCAGGTTTGATCCGCTTCTGCTTATCTCCAATGCACCAGAAACTGCATTGTGGTCCTTTCATTGGAAGGGCCCAATTAAGGGCCTTGCAATCCCGTATTCTGTCATTCATTGGGACAAAAATTGGTTCTTCCCTTTCTATGAAACAAACTACTCTATCACAATCAGTTGGGATGGCAAATGCATATATATATATACTATATATATATATATATTAAATTGATTGTATATCTATATGCATCATTCTATGCATGCTCAATGACTGTGACGGGGTATTTTATGCACATGCCCTCCAATCAGCTTCTGATCTTCACCACGTGCCTGCTGAGCAGAGGCCATGCGTCGAATGCCATTCAACAGGCCACCTGGAAGAACCCAAAGGCTTGGTTTCAGCGTTCATAAGAACATGAGACGAAGAAATCAAACATTCTCTGTGATTACAACCAAGTCTTTGCGTTTGCTTGGAATGTTCTTGTTGGGGTGGCAGGAAATCGTTGGTGGTCTTGCTCTTCATCAGGTCACCTCAGTGCGGAATTGTTTCGAAACACAGAAGGAAACCAGGGGAGCAGCCTCACATTTCGTGTGATTCTGGTTGTTTCAGAATCTGTTGTTTCAGTTGCGACTTGTCACTTACCTGAATTTGGGGTTAGCGACTCCCACCAACTGCTACTGGTATCCACTCGTAGCCACTGGCAATAAGGTGTGCAAACAAACATCTATTGGGCTGAAGTGTGGTCAGCTAGAACTTGCTGATCCATCTGGAAACACCGCCATGTGCAAAGTGTTCATGGAAATTCGATTAACAATTGCCCCCCCCTGTGTCCATCTCAAAACAACCACAAAGTATATATTGTAAATATATACTATATACCTTATAGTTCATGTCGGAAGCGAACAAGGTTTCCATCCCCCACAGAACATGGCGTTCTAAGTACCTTCAAACAAGCTGTTGGGTGTTCCACAACCTGAGTTTCTCACGTGCTTCTCACGTGCTTCTCACCTGCACCGGCGACCGCCCGCCTGTGGAATTGTGGCGATTGATGCTCCTGCCGTCGGGTCTGGCGGGTCGCGACCGATCTGAAATCTGAAGAGCTGCTCTCAGATCTCATAGTTTCTTGTTACTACTAGTAAGGCACCTGTTACTACTAGCGAGGCACTTGTTACTACTAGCGAGAGAAAGAATCTGAAATCTGATCCATTTCCGGTATCGGCAGTGGAAACTGAATCTCATATCTTCCTTATGGAATTTGAGATCGTTTCATCGCATGAAGAAGGCATGTCAGGCCTTACTCCTGCAAACATGAACAACGGACGAGCTGGGGCCATTATGTTTGCGTAACTCATCGTCTGCAAAGTCAACACAGTTGTTTTAAATGTTTTCCTTTCTATTTAAAAACATCTGACCATCCCGCTCCAGTTCCAGAAATTCACCTTCACTCCCGGTTTTGTGACAAATCCTTCCATATCCGTCCAATCACAGCTAGCTGCTAGCGCACGCCAATGGCGCAGGCGCTCCTGGGAGGCATAGGCATAAACCACATGGGACGTACCTCTAGGCATCCCTCCGGGAAGACTCGCTTGGTCATCCTGGCAGAGGTGCCGATGCACATAGCGCAGCACGTCGAGCGGAGTGGTTGGAGATTGATTTCGGAAGGGCCAAATTGGAAGAAGGAACGAATGGATGGATATAAAGAAATATGTCAAGGGGCTCCCATGAAAAAAGAGAACCCATCCTTGACGTCTTCTTCTTAGGGATCGCCCATCTGATTGGGCTGCGGGAGTCGGCGCCCCACTTCTTGGCTCCACCGAAGAGGCCACCGCTCTTCAGTCCTCCGCTCGTTGTACTTGCCGGAGTTCAAGTCGCTTCGTGTGTCCTGAAGGAATTTCAGCACAAAGAGGAACTTCTGCAAATGGTTTGTAGAAGTCTCATGTGGGTACAGCAGCACAAGTGACCGTTCACTTCAGAGACAAGACATGGGAGTGCATTGGAATAGGAAGACCTGCCACTGAACTTGAGTTGCTTTCCTCTTCCAGAAAGGCTGGCCAAACACGCCCCAGACTTCATCAAACGAGGAATATGAGGAATGGTCAAAGTTACACTTTTTCACAAAAATGGACTCAAGTAATTAAGTAGGTCTAAGTAGGTTGGACAAAGCAGCAAAATGTTTAGGGGCTGTGATTGGATCTTCGCAAGTAGTAGTCACACCGGTGCCACTGGAGATTGATCCCACTGGAGAAAACCCTTCAAATTGCCGTATATAATTGGAGTCAGAAGCTTCAGTGCATTTTAGGAGACTATACATAAAAAAACATGTAACATTTTTCGATAAAAGGACATGGCCACAGGGAGCTCGCCTCTCTATGAATCTATCCATGGACGGTGCGTTTGTACCTCGCAAAATGCTGAGAGTCTGGCACCATGCTGGCACTGCGGGATTCGATGATGTACTCACATGAAGGGCGTTTGATTCCCTAGACATTGGATGTAATAAATGACAATTGTCCATGCCGACCATTGACACCACAGAACCAACGGGTGGAGCAGATGGACATCCATGACCAAAATCAATGCAATCATTGTAGTAGAAGTACTTTCTGGAGTACATAGTACTTTGAACATCTTAGATCCGATGGCGTTCTGATATTTAAAATTATGGTCCTAGAGCCAAATGGTTCTTTCCTGCTGTCCTTGTTGAAGTACTTGTTGAGAATGTGTATGGCCCTCTCCGCATACTTGCACACCTGGCACTGGGACAGAAAGCTGACGGAAGAACTGACAGTTTCACCTCCGATCATGAAGAATATCCACAGGTTGGAGGCCATCGCTGGTAGATTGGAGGCCATCGCTATTAGCTTGGAGGCCTTGTGTATCCTGTCGGAAGAATTGCTGACGATTGAATACGACCTTCACTACCACCTGAGGTTCAATTCACGACCAAAGACAACAAAAAGTCCAACCCCCATGCCCGATGATGCAAGAGTCTTCTACTGCACACACTGCCTAGTTCCAATATTGACATCTTTGATATTCAATGAAGGATCCTACAAGATCAAGGACACCTCAACATCTGTTTCAAAGAGTTTTGGTACAACAACACCCTTCAAACTAGACATGGACAAGTGCACGGAATTGCACCTATGTTCTTCAAACTATCGTCATCTACAGTGCTTGCTTAGAGTTCCAACGTCTCTATTTCCATCTTTCTCTCTAGATTTAACTAAAAATTTCATCACCCACAGCCCACAGCCGTTCCCAGCACCTCCAGCTGACAGTTCTTGGCATGTGCCACAACTTCATGAAACTTCTCAAAGTCCAACAGCAGGATTTTGCCTCGAAACTGGGATCCGGTGTCTTTCTCGAGCTCAGTGTATAGTGATGATGTCAAAAAATACAGGTGTGTCAATGTGATCCCATTGGGTGGGACCCCGTCCTGTTCGGAAACATCAGCAATCATGTGCTGTTGAGCGCAATTCATCCGGATTCGCTGAAGCATGCCGAAGGATGCTCTTTGATCACTTGTCCATCTTGTGCCGTCCAGCATGTGAGTTGTAAGCTTCGAAGTGACACTCTCGCAGAATTGCAGTTCCATGCACTTCAAATGAACGAAGTCAATGCCAATGCGTCCCATATGGTGAACCAAGCAAAGTACAATCCGTTTACACCCCCTCATCCTTGTGTGACATTGTTTACTCCACATCTACCCTCCATGCTGATAAACCATGATAAACCCCTGACTTCACAGCAAAAGCTCACACACGTTAAAGTTGCCACAAGCACAAGCACATTCTTGCTGCCTAGGCAACAAAAAAAACAGTTAACACCACAAAAAGCAAGCCTTTTTTGCCAAGTGGCAGTCGCTGCGAGCTCTCATCGTGCCGTTGTGGCTCCAAGGTGTCCAAAGGACCTGAGGACGACGGATGCAACCGGTTTTGCCGAACCTTCGAAAATACCTCCATATAGCTTCGGATGTTCGATATTCCCAGATGTTCTCCAAACAGCACAGGGCCCCATGCCGAAACAAAATGTAAGTGGGGTGACACCACTGCTGGGCCGAGTCTGATGTGCTGCTCGATTTTTCCGTGTGGAGCTCGGCTACCGGAGTCTGAGCAGGTTCGAGGCTGGCTTTGAGGTTCACTAGACTTCGCTTAGCTAGGTTTTCCCATCACTATTAGGTTGGAGGCCATCGCTATTGGGTTGGAAGCCATTGCTATTAGATGCTATTAGGTCTTAATCAGTTCAGTTGACATTGTTACAGGAATGCAATGCGATTCAATACGCCAACTGGGTGCCATGCCATTTCGCTGAAGTAGGCCGGATGCTGGCGCAGAGCGAGCGCCGAGCGCTATCGGCGAGAAAACACGCACGGGCTCCGGTGGGTTTGGTGAGCCGTTGGTTGGGTTTGGTGGTTGATGTTGATTCTTGAATCGATGGTTGATGGCATCTTGGGTCTGAGTGGAACGTTGGGTGTATTTTTTGTCAAAAGAGTGACGACTGGTTAGTTAACTATGTTTCAACTGTTTTTGTTGATCAACGGATTCACATGCAAAAGAAAATATCCGCCAACTTTTGTACAGTCAATTAGTTTTCCACTGACTATCATGACATATCATGACTGTTGATGAACATGGGACAAGCCCTTTCATACTCTAGATGGATCTAGATGGCGCAATCATGCAGCTTTCACAGTGAACCTGTCAATCAGCGGTCAAACTCTTGCGAAACCTTCGATCAATCGAATCCAGCAGCTGTAACACCTCGCTCCTTTCGCTCCCCCTTTCTTTTTTGGAGCCTTTAGAAAGGCCCAACTGCCGTGCCTGCACAGGTATTGGGTCTCCATTCTCCATGGTGTAGGTGAGCTTGCCGGAAGTCAACTGGGTCGACACGCGGGTCGCTGCTCGGTGAACCCGTTGCGCCGGGGAGCTGCGGCGGTGGTTTATGACCGAACACGGGGACCACAGTGCAAAAAGCAGCTGTTCCCCGATGGAGTAGAGGTACGACCCTATAGGCCCTATACCACATCGATCCCGGTCTACCGCCCACCAGATCTGTGTCCTCACCGTGCCCAGCAGCACGGTTCAGCTCCGGATCATGTCACTTCCCCCCTCCGTGACCCGGTGGGTTTTCCTGCTGACCCGGTGGATCTCGCGTTGTCGCCTCTCGCCCGAGGCACAAAGAACATGGACTTCGCCGTCTCCCCTGATGGTGGGCAGGTGGGCACTGCAGGGGTGTTCGACGCGATCGGGCCCGTGATGGGTCTGTGGGATGAGAAGTCTGGGACTGTGGGAGTGGCCCAACCCTGTTTAGGGGACGTTTCTGACACAAAGCTTTGAGGACTGGGTGGGACTCTGATTCTGTTCCAAAATAAATCGTCCGTCATCCTGATCCTGCAAGCTTGACCTACTGCAGATTGATTCCACCATTTTCAGGTTCAGTTCATCTCTCCATTGAGGACTCCATTGTCAAATTGTCGGTGATTGACTGATTCACATCTTGTCTCTCACTGAATAGTCAATAGTGGGTTGGTGCTTCCCCCCCGCACCCACACAGACACACACCTGCTGTACTGGCAGGCCCGCAACAAAGCAAACATACTATGTTTTCCGGTTTTGCGCCCCAAACAACACGTACCTTTACTCCGACCCTCTACTTCACAGTGAACATTCTGAAGATCCTTGTGGCTGCGAGTCATGCTACCCGGTCCCACATACTTCACATAAATTTATTCCAGTGGTGGTGAATGTGGGACCAATTTCAATGCACCTGCTTTCAGGGAACACTCCTAAAGAAGAGAATGGAGGTCACCAAGTAGGAGACACGCCCACGGAATGGGGATCTCTCCAAGTTTTTACCAATCAGTACGATCATTTGCCATTGAGAAAGCCAATTCTGGGGTGATGCCACAAACTGCCAAGTCATACCATCTGTATCTCCGTGCAATCCCGCGTGTGCTGCCCCGTGCCCCCCGAAAACTCGAACCCTCGGTATCTGCCGCGCCTTTGGCGAAGAGGTAATCTTCGGAGGAGAGCGAGATGGTCTTCACAGCGGTGTGGCAGAGCTTCATGACCGCTGGTTCGTTCAAACCTCTACCGGGCAACGAGCGAGGATCCTCTGCACAACGACAGTCATGAACTTTCCAAATACAACACCAACTGGTTGCGTAGAAGCAACACCAACTTTGGATGAAAGGCGCGGAATGGTGGAGGTAGAAGATCCCCTACCTTTTGAGAAGTTGACCGTTGTGATGATATGTGGAAGCATCTGGGTATATCTGGGTTCCCCCCCACCAAGGTCTTGATGTATGTCTCGATTCACAGCCGTGGGCCGTGGAATCACAAATGATCAGTAGCAGAATCACGAGAAAGCTTGCTCAGCACAAGCTCATTGTCTGTCAGGCTCCCAAGTATACCTACCCACCAAATGCGCTCCGCCAACAACACGATTTCCAACGTGTCTGTTTCAGACTGTTTCATCTTCGTTTCCTATGAAGTTCCACATTGTCCTCTTGTCCTCCTCTTCTGGCTAGGCGCGGGAGTAGGCGAAGAACATGGGATGCTTCGTGAGAACCGGACCTGGGCTCGCGATTGTGGCGGAGCCCTGCGACGGCGACCGTGGGAAAGTCTGTTAACCAAGTATGGCATAGTATGGCATACCGCATACCTACATTGGTGTGGTTGAAAAGGGGTCAATGTTTGTGTAAATCTGCCAGTCCCATGGATGGTCTGGGGCATGCTATTGAAACAGTCACGAACACGCCCATGTTGGAACCCTTCCAGCTGAAAGCCTGCAAACGTCCTGCGAGTGGCTGTGCATCTCAAAGTGCACCTCCGTCATTAAGGGCTCGGACCTTCGATGCGGGCCATGCACACAAAGGAAGAGACTTCAACGGAAAAGTCGATGTGACTAACAGCTCATCCAGGATTCCAGGTACTTGGTGATAACTATATGACTATCTATATTACGAATACTATATGTTTATAAGTTCCAATGAAGGCATTTTCTGGCGGGACTTGCTAATTGTAGAACAACCCTCAAAGATGTACATGCTTGTTTGCATTACAGAATATAAATGGTTGCACCCAGTAGGTCCTTACAATGTCCATATCGTCCGGAACAGGAAGAACATGATGAACCATCCAACAAAGGCTGTTCTCTAGACTGGCAGCAGTCGGTTGAGCAGCTCGATGTCACCCTCCTGGTCAAGAAAGGCACCAGGCTCAGCAGCTCGGAGTTGGTTTCAAATAGCAATGGCCTCCAACCTACTAGCGATGGCCTCCAACCTCATAGCGATGAGCACATGTGTACCATGTGTCCCGAAGATCCCGAAGGGGTGTCTATGATGTGTGATGCTGCGCAGCAGGAGGCCAGGTCACTTTGAACTGGACGATTTCTTAGTGTGATTGGCGAGGCCCTCCAGAACCCTGACACTTCGTCCCGATACTTCCACACAAAAGTTGAAAGAGTTGTCCTTGGAACCCAGCAGGAACAGGCACCCTCATCGAACCGCAGTTGTCGCAGTGGATCCAAAGTTGTCATAGTAGATATACCTGCACCGTAGATCCCCAGTAAATGCAGTGATTAAAATGTAGACTCTCGACTCTTGATTAAACCCCCCTGCCACCTCCTCACTCTGCGCTCCGTCACTCCTCGGGCCGCGAACGCTTCTCCGCATTCCGCTGCTCCAGGTACCGCCGCACACGCACCGTGAGGTAGAAGGAGAACTTCCTGAGGAAGGCATCGATGTGATGTCAGGATGATGTCAGAGGTAGAAACAAACATGCATCCTGAATTACATGTATTCACTCAGCGGTCAGCAGTCAGTCATTTATGTGTTTGTTCTTCCCCGTCTTGTTCTTTGAGTGAACATCAGTGATATTTTTTGGGTGATCAGTCGGCGAGATTTGAGGGATCAGTGATTGAGCCTGTGAGTGATGATTCTAATTCATTGATAATTGTCAGTGATCACTCGACAGTGATGAGTGAGGGTTGCTCTTCTGGTGTGTTTTGAGTGATCCGTGATCAACAAACATACCTCCAAGGAGAGCTTTGGTGGGAACAGAAGTGTTGCACAGACTCAACCAAGCCCTGCACAAACTCCATAAACCAACAGGCTTCAGAACAGGGAAGTGTTCTACACACCTCCCTGGCTAAGAAAGATGTATAACATCCATGGCTAATCGCCCAGAAAATAACACTGATGCAATGGCGCTGGTCCACAAGCAGTTTGGTCAACAAAATGCGAGAGCAGCATATCAACATATATCAACCATTATCAACCTACAAAGTTGGTCTGAAAAAGGGCTTGCATTTATTGGATACTTTTTTTGAGGGCACCTTTTAATTTATAGTAGTAGGTGCCGAGGAGCTACAGTTCTCCATGTCGTTTCCTTTCAGAAAAGAATCAAAGCAAAGATCGCTTCGAACATGGCGGGATGGATGGAGCTTGCTTGTCATCGAAAAGGTCCACCCAAAACAGTGGTTCCACTGAGTTCCTCTTGACCAGGTCCTCCGCCCCTCTGCATGACCAGGTCTCCGGCTCTGCATGAAGTCTTCAAGCTTGGAAAAGAGGATCGCCTCGGCAGATTCCAAGTTCCGCAAGTGCGTCATCAAGTTCGTGATGCTCGACCTGAGGTCGAGGGGCACTCAGGCGAGACAGAGAGGGAGGTGGTCGCATCTCGCAGCATCTCGCATGGGCCAAAATGGTTCTCAAGTCGTTAAGGGTGATCTGCCGCTGATCATCTCGCAGCCTACCTGCATCTGCTCTCCGTCTCGGCTTCCCGGCACGAAAGAGGAGAAAGTGACCAAAGCAAAGATCACAACGGTCACATTAAAGGCACGCTCCTGGAGGTTCGTGGGCTGTACCTGAGCACCGTGGGTTTCCACCCACGGATTCTCCCAAAGGCTCCAACCAGAACCTCAAAAGGTGGTTCAGGTGGGTTTGAGGGGTAAAACTACCTTCAGAACATGTGGTTGGACATTGGACATGGTTCAAAAAACTATATTAATGTATAAGTTTCTTACAAATCTACTGAGGGCTCTCTTGGTGGTGCCTGGCTTTTCTTCAGAACGTGGTGGTGCGGGTGGATGGCGGTGTGGCTCTGATTCCCAGCGAAACCGAGACGGCTTCAGAGGCATTATATAGCAACATAGTCTTCATGCGAGTAGACTCGACTCAACTCAACCAGAGATTTTTGAATCCAGAAAAACACAGTGAGATTCAATTCAACCAGTCTCCACTCCACGTTGAAAATCGTTCTCCGCTGCTACTTGGAAGACACCAGTACATCCTATCTGAAAAGAATGGTGCTCATGGTGATCATTCTCTAGTCCCAGATTTGTTCACTTTGCAGCGAAGAGTCCTGAGAGGGTCATAGAATGTCTGGAACAACTAAGAATTAATACTTGTGCCAAAGCGCTGACATGCTCGCCGGAGTAAATTGCGTCAAGCTCCAGTGCAAGGAGATGAGAAATGTATACCTCACAGGTGACATGCTCATGTAATATCAACATCATGTACTCTTGCTGTTGCTGCTCTTCTAGTAAGACTACGACGTCCTGTTCGTCTCATGATCTCATGTGGTGTTTCACAAGCTTGGATCGTGACTCAGCCCATTCCAAAACAGCTGGTGTGTGTGTGTGTGTGATTGTTCTTTCTTTTTACTGCGACCCATCAGAGTCTGGACATCTGCCTCTGCGAGAACTTTGGGAGTTCCCTGGTGTCCATCGAACGGGTCGACCACGCGTAGGTCATGTGGAATGGGTCAAACCTGTCGACTGGATGTAGGGTTTTGGAAGCAGTGGCATATAGAAATGAGGTCACTTCCCTGATTGTTCACTCAAAAAACTAGGATCAAAGGACTGCTATACAATATAGAATTTAACTTTGAAAGACCAGGATCTGTGGGTTCGGGCAATGATGAAGTCAGCCGAGCTTGACCATTTGGGTGAACTTTGTCCAAGGGGCCACCAGTCGTCCACGGGTATGTCATTGGCTGCAAGCCATCCATTGCTGCCGGCGCCCTGCCCAAGCCTGGCAAACAAAAACTCCATAGATCAAAGACTCTGATCCAATACAAAAGGACACACAAGGCATCTATTTAGCATTCAGATTTGGGACTAAGGGGATGATCCGATCGGGAGGCAGTTCTTGGATTGGGACAAGGGGACTCAAACAACCAGGATTCTGCTATGTACGGGATCGAATCCCGATCCAGCCAGCCACACACATCAAGGAGGGAAGACCATTCCACCAGCTTGATCCCAAATCAATCCAATCCAACCAACCATGCAAGGAACTCTCCTTGCATCATCATGCGAGGGAATGTGAGTCCCCTTTGGACACCGAGAACGCACCGTACACCATCCGACTCCTCCCTACCGTTCACCACGTCGTTCGTCGTTTCTGTCCAAGCGGCAAGTACCACACCGCTGCAATGGTGTGGTTGATGAAAAGAATTCCCAACAGCTGTTTCAACTGGGCGAGGACACGTAGGTTGCGCAGAACAAAAAGCGAGCAAAAGGATTAAAAGGCTTGGAGAAAAACAACATGATGCAAGGTATCTGCAGGGACTTCTGAAGCAGGACTGCTATCTTGTATAACAGAAGTAGTATTATATATTTATTATACTGATATAAATCTGACACATAGATACTAGTAGAATCAATTGTATATACAAAAACAAAAATCGTGACCACATGTGACGACCCAACATGGAACTTAAGAATCCTATAAGGACATGTTGTGTCAACAAGTACCGAACTTTTTCATGGTCCAAGCTCCACTTTTTGCCTCTGATTGTCTCCCTTCCAAAGAGATGGTTTTTAGTCCCATCCAGTGAGTGGATAATGGGCACCCCTACCCTCCAATATCCACCCCATTTCTCTTTCATCACGGAAGCACCACTTAATCGAAGCCATCCAGTCCCAGTCTGGCAAGCAGTACTGCGAACAAGCTGCGATGCCAAAGCTCAGGGTGATATACTCTGAACGGCTGACCTGGGTCAAATGGTGGAAACCATACTTGCACTCCCTCAAGTTGTCTCAGGATTGCCACTGAAAAGATTGTTTGCAGGATGATAGTCCAAGTACGAATACCATGCTCATTTGCCAGCTGTAGGGGTATTTATTTGGATGCATTTTCTATATCTATTTGGTCTATCAAAAGCATCCCCCATGACTCATGAGCCGTTTGGTTCCACCGCCTCCCAGGCGTTGGTGCAAAACCGCCTACCACACCACCGGCCAAGTGGCGAAGGGGACGTGTTTTAAAGCCACGAACGGAACAAAGGGCATCGCTACGAACGGAGCAAGAAGCTACGAACGTTGCTCCTGGCCTTACTAGTAACAAGGTTCGCTACGAACGTAAAGTTGGGATCTTCACAGGCCAAGTGGCGAAGGGGAGGTGTTTAATGAAGCTTGGCAGCTTCGCGGCGCGGAGCAACTTCGCCGACCTGACCCGCATGGCTCCCACCGTGCGGAGCAAAATGCTTCCTCGTCCACCGGAGTCCGAGAGTCGCGGGCGTTGAAAAAGAAAGACAGGTCGGTGCCGGCGCGGAAGATATGATGTATATATATATATACACATAGATATATTATATATATATACACGTAACGTATATATATGGTGTCATCAGTACGTTTAAAGGGAGCTCTATTTCATGTGACAGGAGACATTTGCCCATGCACGACCTACTCAGTTACTCACATCCTCTCTATAAAGTCATATAATTATACAAATAGCATGTCACATGTTGGACACTTCTCCAAAGGCCTGTGCCGTCACCCTCCAGTCACCCACCGTCATCCACCCCACCGAGCCGGCACTGGATCCCTCAGCATCTTTGTACGCTATCTTGTTTCTAATAGCTTCTTGTTTCTACTAGTAAGGCACTTGTTACTAGAAGCGATGCACTTGTTTCTACTAGCTTTCCTTACTAGTAGAAACCGGAAGATAAAACACTCTATCATCTCGCCTCTTATCCATCTGGCACCGCGATCCACCAAAACCCTCCAAAATTGACACCAAAGTGGTGATGCCATGTGTCTTGCTTCCTCCCTCCAGTCGCTCCCTCCCCCACCCGGACCCCACAGACCCGCCCACTGTGGCTTCCGGCCTCAGAAAGCGGAGGATCCGCAGGGAGCGCGAGGCGCGGATCAGCGACGGCAGCGAGGGCATCTCCGCGATGATGAGGTCCGTCCATTCGAAGCTGCGCGGCTTCGGGGCGGGCGGATTCCCCGGTGGTGCCACGTGGGACGAAGAAAACAAAGCGTGTTTTGGAGAGATGAGATGGGTCTCAAAAGGTGCCCGCTACAAGATGCTACAACCCGAAAGAACCAAGAAAATAATCAAAGCCAAGAAAAAAATGGAAGATCCTAAATGCTCCAGCCTATAGTTTGTGACCTTGCAAAAGGATCTTGAGAAACCACCACAAGTCCAACGGCAAACAACACTCAGCCAAGTGACGAAAGCAGAATCAGGTCCGCCATCATCCAGGTTTTCACATAGTTAAGCGCCGTCTTTTGTGGGCGAAGCTCCTGGGCTGGCCAGTGTCTCAGCAGAAACAGCTTGTTGGACCGATAGTACCTTTTCTCCAGGCGGATGGAGGGGTGACCAGTGGGAAGGTTGAACCATCTAAGTTTGCATCACATTTTACACTGTAAGAAACCAACATGCGCGTGTCGTCGTGTGTCTGTGCTACTTGATTCCAGCATGCACCCCTGATTATTTTGGGATGTATTCCACGGGATTTGAGTAACGAACGCATAAACTCCTACTGTACCTTTCCAGAAATGGAGTGGTAAGAATCCAGGAGTTATTTTTCCCACTTCACTAAGTTACTAAACCTTTGTCTGTTCTTTTTGTAAGGTACAACTGTCTCTGATGACACTTTGCGCTTGAAAATCCCAAGCAAGAAGTAGCTCGGTGCTTCGTCCCGCTGGGACCATGTTCAAACCGAACGAGTCGAAGGCGGTTGGCCTGACGGGCCGATCGCTGGGGCGATGACACAGACGAACAAGTACTTGTTTGGTTGAACATGGGGGTTCATATAAACCACCTCTTGGGGGCTGTGCCATCTACTCTGAAACCACTGTACTTGTTTCGGGCGAACAATATCGAAACAAAGGACACAACGTGTTGGACAGCTTTTGGCGCCAGCTTGGCTTGAAGGCATGTTCACGGGGTATGGTCGGTGTAGTCTCGCCAAGGCTCCAAGGTCCCAGATTCATAGTAGCCCACGAAGAAGGCCACGATGAAGTCGATGGTCCAGAAGGTCACACTAAAGACGGTCATGCCGGTCCTAGCGGAGCGCGAACCCCTGGCGCAACTCATCTGGTTCCAGATGCTCAAGAACATGATCATGATCGGTCGATCATGATGGTCCCGCCTACCACTTCTCCACTTCTCCGATCTTCTCCGGGCCCGGTGGATAGAAAGAATAAGAACAAAGAGCTCCCGGATCCTAACTAACGAATACCCGTACCCTCCAAGAAACATGGAAGTGGACGAATACCCCCCTGTCGGAGGTATTCGGATTTCATGGTCTGTCCAAAGGCCGTGCCATCCACTTCCATGCTCATTTCATCCTTCTTCACCCAAGTTGTGTTTGGCAGCTGAACACAAGAATAAATGATTACAACTTCATGTTATGTTCGAGACTTTCTCTAAATATAAAAAACCTATAGAACCTATCTGATCCGTGCTTTGATAGGCAAAGCCCAGCCTCAGGTTAGTTGCTCCTCGTAAACAGGAGTCTCTCCCAAAGCAGCATAGACTGTTCATGGCAGGTGGTTCCGACACCCCTTCAACCAACAAATGGTCAGTCATTGAGTCCTTGGAACAATTCCAAGTGAAGGCGGAACACCTTTTTCTCCAACATGCATAGAAGTGTACCTGCTAACCCGATGGAAGTGTATGCAATTCCAACAGGCCAGGCTTTTGGCCACGCAGATGGTATGAAGCCAAAAGGCTCAAAGCTGGACGTATCCAACTCATAGACAGAAAGTGGGACCATGACCATGTCCTTGGATCTGCAGTCCGCCAAAAGGCGGGCCATGTTCTCAAGATCGGGTGTGGATTGAAAGGTCCCTTCGAAGTGGAACATGGCCCCTTCGATGACGATATTCCTCTACAAACAAACGGTTGTCCACTTTGATTATTGTTTCAGGGAATCTAATTAGCATACAGTTTGATCATGTTTGATCAATCCAAAACCTTGCGATCCCCTTCTGACTCGTCAACTCCTAAAGATCATCAGAATCTATAACATGAATCACTATTGAATCAATCACCTGCCTGAGATCTGAAAAAGCCTGCAGGCCGGCCTTTGTACTTAAACTTGAATGAATGACATCTAAGGAATCTTAGAGAGCCCCTTGGCACCTCGAGCCGGCACCACTAGCCTATCTCCAATTGATCAGTTTTGAAACCAACAAAATCGCGACCACTAATGTAGACTCTTGATTAATACACCACCCCAATTGAATTGAACACCCTCTTCAAAGGGGAGGTTTATTAATCAAGCGTCTACTGACTACTGACAATAAATGACGTCAACAGTCTGTATGGATCAAGTACGAAGGAACTTCCGTGCTGCTGCTCATCAACCATTTTTTGTTCACCACTATGCCACTATGCTGCGCAAAGCCACTCATGTGTATGATATCAGCGTTTCTCATCTGGCAAAATCCAACACGACCATGGTGTGGTAGTCATAAACAAAAAGAACACACTCTCGCTCAGTGAGCTTCAGGGGATTTTCAAAACGAACGACCAGAGCTGTGCACCGTTGCGCCTTTGGTCCGAGAGACCCACCAGACCCACGTTGCAATGTGGGGTGAAGCTGTAGATGTGTAGGCCGAGCTGTAGAGGTTTTAGAGGTTTTTACCATCCAAGTCGGGGGGAGCTAAGTGAATCTAGAGTCTACATTCTACATCCTTCTACATTGAATGTTCCACTTTAGAGGCTCGACCTACCCCTGATTTCCTTTGGCCTTGGAACACCAAATCTCCAGGCTCCACATCTGCTGAGGCTGTGAGCTGCGCTGTGCTGAGGCCATCCATTCAATTATCAGCTGAGGGGCATAGGCAATCAGAAGCAATGAGAAGACCAACCAAAACCTCAGCCAGTCACTGGGACCAAGGATGATTCACCAGGTTTGGTCAGTTTCTGTGCAAAAGATTTGGTGGGTGCGTGTTCAGATCTCAAATAGATACGTCAACCCCCAAAAATAGACTCCTTTCCCGGGCCTCTCACACCATTTTGATCCATTTTGGCATTGCCCTTGGCATATACGTTCGTGGCATTCGCCCGTGCACTGGAGGACTATCTTCTCTCCTTGCAATCAGCTCATTCCCCGAGGCAAGCTCTTCAGATGCGCGTCGATGGTGGGCGACACATGCGGTGATGGTTGTGCACTAGCAGTTGGGGAGTAGTGACACATGGTGGAAGCCTCTGTATATCTTTTTCACTGAATGAGATCCTTTGATTTCTACTGTCATCGCTGCATGTGTGGCAGAAAATATGCTGGGGGGGCACTCCGACACCGTATGTCATCTCCAGTCTCCCTACCCATGTCAGACGCTTGCTCGTGATATTGGTTATGGAGTCTTCTGGATAGCTCATCCTGCGTCATGTGGGGCTTCCTGACGTTGCATGGAGACGATGTTGCACACGGCTATCACCCACCCACTTTGGCCCACCCAGCAGCAGCCGGCGCTTCCCATCCGGTGGAAGGACCATCGCCTAGCCCGGCCATACCCCGTGTTCAAGCGAGAGGGACATCGGATCGCTTTGATCAAGGATTCTCTTCATCCCTAGGCCCTAGGGAAAATCGAAAAGCTGGGGATGTTGTCTGACCAAATAGAGAGATAGACTCCTCAAGTCTTGTTTATCCGGTTTATCCTTAAGCGAAGCAACGCACCAGAAGCGCCCTCAACAGCCATTAGTCATTCAACACAAATAAGGATTGCTATAGGCCCCAAAGCTACAGTATGTCTTGAATGTATGGAAACCACAGACCTCGCATATCACATCGTGCGAATCAACAAACACTTTGGGGATTTGGCCTGTATAACGATGATATATGATGATTATGACACTCATGTGTATGATTCTGATACTCATGTGTACACATGTATATAATCACATGTATACAGTGGTGACTAAAGCTTTAGCGCTAGACCTGTCCCCCTTCAGGGCCACCTTTCGAAATCGAAACAAAACACCGATTCACCTGCGTAGAATCCAACACCGAGTTGAAACGGAGAAAAATGACTCCGGACAACACAAGTCGATGGGTCGATTCCAAAGCAAGGTTGCTGATTCCGAAGCCGACAAACTGCTCAACCAATAGGGAGAAGTTCCGGATTATAGTACATCATGTCTGTTCTTTTAATTGAAGGTTCTTGAAACTCTTCACAGATCTTCTGCATAGAGCAAAGGGCGAGCTGTTGCCTGCAATGGCGACAAAACATGCTTTGCTGTAACGCTTGCCAAAAACAAACATCAAAACAGCCAGACCATGCCAAACCCGAACAAGCAAATTTGCCATGACACTGACTAGCCAAACACAACCATGAGTGGTACTTGCAAGTTCACCACCTTGTCCAGTTCCCCACTCTCCAGAAAAATCTCAGGCCTGAAGGCATTGCACTGCCGTTAGATTGCTCTTCAACATGTTCGTCCCGTGGTTCAAGGAGAGCCTCACGTCGTGGAGGCCCTCCGCCGATCCCACGTCCAGATCGAAGACGCGGATCGGTGTTCCCACGACGGTGGTCCGTGGTCTCTCCCATGCAGATCAAACTCCTAGATCCAAAGCAAACAGGGATAGTGACGCGGATAGTCTGATCTTCCCAAAGCGATGTTCAGCAAGTAACTTGCTACTCCCACGTGTTGTAGTGTGTTTCTGGTCCGTTGGGGTTCAGGAACATTTGTCCTCCAGGAGCCAAGGGCTTGACAGCATGCAGAAGCCTTTTGGAGGGCAAGCCACCCTCTAAATTGCTCTGGGATTTGCTGCGACGCTCCAGCGACGCTCCAGCGAACCTAAGTCTTAGAGGGATTCTGGTCGGACCTGAGATGGAAGTTCGCCTAGCCTGAGCGCTCCCCAACGAACTCCCATGGACTCACGCGGACTTGCTTTGGTCTTCTGCGTTGGTCTTCTGCGCCTGGTCTTCTGCGCGGAATAGCTGTGTATGGAGGCGCGTCGCTCCTGGAAAACTGTTGGTGTGGCAATGGGTGGCATGAAGCTGGAAGATGAAACAGAGGGAAACATATGTTCCACAACATGTTTATACTATTTTTTTACTTTCATTGTTGTCCTTTTTTGTGAGTTGTAGAGAACGTTGAGGAAATATATGATTCTGTATGATAGCCATCCTTAGGTTGCTTAGAATATGGCACGACTCCAAAGAAGAAGCTGCAGTTCTTTTCAAGCCATGACCGGTCTGACAGATCATTCACTGGTCACTCCTCCACAACTGCTTCAAAGAACAGCTCTGGCCTGAGATGCAAAGACTTCTAGGAATGGCAACACTTTCTCGCTCGCTTCCACCATCAAACACCAACCAAGTGACCCACCGTCCCAAACCTTCGTTCAAGACCTCACCCCAATCGACAGCGCAGGACGAACCGCCGAACCACCGGTTCCCGGCCAAGGCGCCAAATGTCCCAGGCCTCCACCCGAATCTCCGCGGCGGCGAGGACGTGCGTCGAATGCGTGGCACCGACCCCTTGCGGCTCGGAGACCGCGCGGGGACCCACACCTGGCGAGGGAGGAAGGATGCCATGGAAGGATGCCATCGGAAGCTCTGGGGGAGTGTGGATGGGAACTTCGGCTGGTCCACCACTCTTTCCACGCCTGGCAAGCCTGCGGTATTGGCACGACTGCCGTTCCGCTGCGCCTCCGCCTGACAGGTGCCAAAACCGTTGGACTGGTTGGACTGGCGCGGACATGATGGACACGTAAACGCTTCGGACACGTGAGACGAACGTTTCCATGGTCCGAAATGTTTCAACATGTGTCAAAAGCTAAAAGCGTTGGAGTGGGTTTGTTGCTGTGGGGTGAAGACTTCAAAGCTGGAGAAGGTGATTGAAACAAGTCCCCATCGAAATGGTCCGTGAGATTACTGCGATCGTCTGAACCTGCTCGCTGCAAGTACTTATATAAACCTAAAATCTATAGTAGAAACTGACCAATTGCTCCAGTGGTACATCATCGCTGTGGTTGTCTAATCCTTTCTGCACCTTCAAAACGTTCAAAAGAAGCTAATTACTTTTCTACAACTGTACAAGTCCATTTTTCCCAACCCAATGGGTAGGCAAACAAAAAAGTGAAGATGAGACCAAAACGGTCAAACAAACCCAATCCATAAACACACAAAGACAGACACACATATAGATAATGTTGTCAGAGAATCTAAGATGTCTCGTTTTCAGCTCAGTCCGGGTGAATCTTTAGGGCTACAGCGAGTAGGGATCATCTGTGCTTCTGCGTCAAAGGGCGTTTCTGCGATGAATTCCCAAACATCAGAATTTCTGACGCCCTGTACAGCTCTGAGGTGATCAGAGCTGTCATGAAACCAAACGAAAGGAGGGAATTTGAGCCCTAGTCAGAAACCTGGACCAAAGGGCGATGTTTCGTCGGAATCAGTGCCATGCGAACGAACATTTGGGAAACAATGACAAATACACTTGGACCACAAATACTCTGCTAAATGTTCTGCTTCAAAAAGCACCCTGGTTAAGCTGAAGAGATTGTGAGATGTCCCAATATGCTTAAGTTTCCAGTCCGCAAGTGTCCGATAGTCCCGCATCTTGCTGCCATAGACTTGTTTGTCAAACTTTGTAAGTCGCAGCGTATCCAAGAGTGACCCCTTCATCAGACGTTGAAATGCCAAAAGTTGAACTGGAGAGTGAGCTCAGTAGGGTTTATCAATTCTGGGCCCTTATTGTGTCCCGTTGTGCCAACTGCAGGTTAAAACTAACAACAGCATGACAATGACATACAGATTGATACCAATAGTGCTTTATGCGTGATAGCTCCAGAAAACATGTTTTATGGCATGTTTTTGTGCAAGGGCCACTCCAGGAAGGTACCCAACCCAAACATGAATTATGATCGACGATCAATACCATAGAACCCAACCCAATCATTGATGACCACCAATACCATCAATACCCTTAAACGTGCAAGCTGCAAGACCATACTTAGAATAACAAGTTAGGCTCCTTGTAGGTTTCCATGTTTGTTTGGCCATCCAGATTGCCAATTTCCATAGTGGTTAAGGACATACACTGTTACACTCACACATCACATGGTCGGAAGTGGATAGCCATAATACAGGAAGAAAAGGGGACGAACTCCCTCCTCCATCTGAGTGAGTCGAAGTGAAGTGACTCCAGTGTGACTCCTTTCTGCTTCATTTCTCCTGAAGTCGCTCCGAAACCCGAACCAAGTGGCCGTCTTCGCCCTCGCCGCGGCGGCGGCGTGCACGGAGCGAGTTGGACGCATGGGGTCCGAGATGATGCTGGACCTGGCGAAGAGAAGGGACCTGAGGACTTGGCTCTTCAAACCTAGTAGCGATGACCTTCAACCATAATAGCGATGGCCTCCAACCTACTAGCGATGATCTTCAACCTACTCCAACCTACTAGCCAGTGTTCTTCAACCTAATAGCGATGGCCTCCAACCTGTACTAGCGATGACCTTCAACCTAATAACCTACTAGCGATGGCCTGCAACCTACTAGCGATGACCTTCAACCTAATAATTAACAGCAATGGCCTCCAACCTACTAGCGATGGCCTCCAACCTAACAGCAATGGCCTCCAACCTACTAGCGATGGCCTCCAA